ACAGTTTGTCTCTACCTTATGTGCCTCTGGGCACGATGAGGACTAACTGACTGATTGTGATTTTTGGGCAGCAGTATGCCAATTACACCATGGAAGAGACTGGGACCTCATCTTGTAATATTTCTACAAACAGCAGTGGGTACACTGAAACCAACCTTGATTATGAGATGGTAGAGAAACTGATTTTCTTAGTTCTTTTAAGGTGGCTGAAATATTCAACTTCTGAATTTATTCCAATGAGTTTTTCATTCTCAGTCTCCAAATAAAACTTTTTTGTCTTTCTTCATTCTGTTTCCACTTGTGGGTTCCAGGGTTTAGGGGGGAAGAAGGGAACAGTCTCACTACCCCTTAGCACGCATGTCACTTAAAAACAAAAATAGAAAACATAAAAAAACATATAAAGGTGACCTATTAAAGGTCTGCCAAAATCTGATGTGGTAGATCACAAACAGGCAGATACCACAGCCTTGCTGTACACAACATCATAATGTGCCAACTTCTCTTTTAAAGGTGAATAAAGAAACAATTTCTAATAAATATGACCTATTCTTCTCTAAATCCTTATCTTCAGCGTTTTAGCTACACTTGCTAACTGCTTCGCAGTGTTTAAGCACACAATAGCATTCCATCGCCCCTTAACTAAGAAACCTCAAAGGAAAAGTTGGTTGCTGCCCTTTGCAGTATATTGCAGAAGCAGATTCTTTGGGTTGTTTGTGATTTTACTAGATAATTTCTCTTTTCAGTAGTTTGTCATTGTCTACTGAATGGTCTGCTCCACTGTCAAAACTAATGCAAGACGGTTTGCAGCCAAACTGCCTGCAACTGGAATCGAACCCAGCCCCTCAGCATTACGAAAAATGTTCGCAACGCCTAAGCCCCAGATGCAACTACATATTGTGCCAACTCCCCTTTTAAGAGCTAACACAAAAGAAGAGATATTTGTTTGTTATAAACAAGAATATTATTGCCAACTCAAGGGCCCTTTTCTTTAGAACCAGCTGATATATGGCACCAACAGCATATTTTTTACAGGCCAAATCTGCATTTTTTGGATGATATGGTCAACATAATGCCAGCTGCCTTTATTTCCTGCACATTTTCTGATGCCAATTAGGGGCTGAGTCGACCTTGAAACCAAATAAATTACTTTAATTAACATGCTTTTTAAGGCCAGAAAACAGCATAGCCCATCCTGCCTAAAGATAGACTCACAAACAGTGCTGCCTCAACACAAAGGCCCGCTGGGCTTTTGCCACGGGGCCCCACAAGCACAGGAACTTTATGATATCTGTGAATGTCACATGAGCAGTTGTCACAGGGGCCCTAGCCCACTGATTTGCCCAGGGGCCTATAATATTGTCCAAACAGCTCTGGACATACATACAACATTTTTACATCAAACCAAACATTCAACGGCAGCAAAATCATCACAATGAACAGCAATGGTCAGTAAAATGAACACAGATGTGTCAAATAGGAAATGTAACAGCAATGAAAAACAAGTTTAATCCTGGATGATAGCTGAATATATACAAGTGAAGTTTAAGACAGTGTTGAAAAAGTTAGTTGCAAATCTTTGATGCCATAAGCCAACCCCTGCTTTGGTTGGCCGCTCATGGTTTTACTAGGTCTTTTTTTAACATTCAGTAGTCTGCCACTGGTTTCTGAATTCACAACTACCCATGTGGGTCCCATGTGGGTTCCGTGTGGGTCCCATGTGGGTTCCGTGCTGGTTGAGGGAGAACAGACCAACTGCTCTTTAACACACATGTTGCAAAAGATGAATAATTATAGTTTCGCTGAAATTGGATGTGTTTGGCCAAAAGGCGTAGATATCACAGCCTAGCTGAAAAGCACAACACATTGTGCCAACCGCATTTCTAAGGGCAAGCCCTGAAAAATTTACCTTCTGAAAGAACATTATCGTGTGGAGAATATAAGGAATGAAACCTAAGTCACATATGCTAGAAGCTTGTATGTTTGCCATGTAATGAGCATAACACCAGATCACAGTTATCTTTTCTCATATAACTGCTTCAGCGAACTGTTATGTTGCATATAACTAGAAGTACAGATTTCCTTTACGTCTTCCTCATGTTCTGCCTGCCAATGGTGTTTAGATGAGCAGGCCACATGCCTCTATGAAGGCAGTGGTGCATCACATGTCCTCTGCTGACCCATACAGCTTGGTTTTCACTAGAATGCTGTCAGCCCAGACCTTGCCTTTAGAGATGTCATATTTAGAGAAGAGTAAAACTGAGAGAAAAGTTAAACTGAGAAAAGAGGTAAACTGAGAGAAGAGTTAGACTGTGAGAAGAGGTAAACTGAAAGAAGATTTAAACTGAGAGAAAATTTAAACTGAGAGAAGAGTTAAACTAACAGAAGATTTAAACTATGAGAAGAGTTAAACTGAGAGAAGAGTTTCACTGAGAGAAGAGTTAAAAATTGCATCGGTTGGAATTATATCCCGTCTGCGAAAAAAGAAATGTCACAGAAATGACAACTTCTACTAGTTGGAATCAAGATTTCACTTCCAAAGATGAAATACTTATTGAAAAAATAAATTCTGCAAGCTGGAATCAAGTTTCCAGTTTTGAAGAACAAGAAATTATGAAAGAGATTAAACTCTTTAAGTGAAATCAAATAAGACTTCTGATGACAAAAGAAATGCTTCAGGACTATTCCATATAAATGGGCATACCTTGAGAAGTAAAGGCAGTCAACATTATAGTGACACTATCACTGATGTAGTGCAGCAGTCTAAAACGACATGGGGCTCACACCATACACTGAGGCAAACTTCAAGGCTCTAATCAAGATAATCTAGAATTAAATCGAGAAGTCTGCTATATTGCATTTCAGTAACAAAATCATAATTTAGTAACTATAACTAAAGGGTAAAAGGTAGTCAGGAGATGTGAACAAGCGTCATTGCACAAGGTTATAAACCATAAGTGCTCTGCCACCAGTACGGACAGCTGATAAGAAACTGTCCACATGTGTCGTCGTCCACACGAAACTCTGCAGCTACAGCAACGTTCCTCCATTTACCCCAGAGTGTCAACTCTGGCACCCATTTCCTAGAGGCTGTGTGAACCCCAGGAACTGTCCAGTTTCAGATACCAGCCATGGGCTGCAGCGAGTTTGTGGATTTGAAAGCGAGTCTCTTTTCAACTGCGCTAATCAGACCCCTGTGTAATTATAACTGGAACACAGAACATCACCAACTACTTGCCTTTAATTGTTTTTTCTATTAACTATCAACATCTACACTGTAGATTAGCAATGGCAAACTATTGAACATAAAAAAGCTTAGTGAAACCACAAACAGTCAATAAATGCCGGGTTTGGTTCTGCAATGCCCTGTAAACTATACGAAGCAAACTTAACACTGTTAAGTTAAAAACAAAATAAGTACAAGAGCCTTTTCATTTCATCAGACATATAGTAAAGTAAAGGACCCTTTTCGAGGCCTTCAGGCGTACTGGGCATATAGGGCTAGACCTATATTTTATAGATCAATATGCACTCTGTGGGAAATGTGTTTCATACCGGCTGCTTCAACTTCCAAGAACTATATACCTGGTACCCACTCAAGGCTGGGTCGACCTGGGAGGTAAGTTTTTTCCTCTTAAATGTCCGGTTTTTGTCAGGATCTGAACCCACGACCTTCCTTTTGGCAGGCGAGTGTCAGGAGATATATAAATAGAGCTATATCTTTATAGACTAGTTGCCACTCAACGGGTGATGTGGTCAACATCACACTGACCACCTTTACTTCCTGGGACATTACCTGGTACCCATTTTAGGCTGGGTCGATGTAGGCGCCAATGTCAAAAAACACCTGCTTTAATAAAGTATTGAACCCAAGACCTTCAGAATGGCAGGTAAGTATATACCATCAAACTACTACAGCTCCAATTTACACCGTAATTTGAAACAATTAGCAAGCAGTTCTAAAAAAACTATCACAACAAATATAATGAATGAAGCAATGGAAGAATCCGGACTCCAATGAAGGAAAGCAGACCCGCATCAAAATTATGCATGTACTCAGTGCATGTGTTATGAATGCCAACAACAGATAAGGTCTGGTCAACAAACTGATGCTGAGGTTAATTTCCAGTGTCAACCAATGCAGAAATTATTGACCATCTAATAAGACCATTTATCTAAACAATTATACACCACTTTACGCCTTCTGTGTGGTTTAGTAATCCACACAATATCTTTCCATGCCAAAAATTTCAATTAATCTAACTCTTGTTCTAATTTTGTTATCTCCTTGTTCACACTGACCATAAAAACAGGTTCTTCAATCATGAAAAACTCTATCTCTCAGCATCAAATTCTTTTCATAGCAAACGCCCAACAGGGGAAATAACCTCTGTTATCACTAACCCATGACTTTAACTAACATCACACTGAATACAACCACTGTGAAACATCACGAGCCGGTGACTTTTAACTAAGAACACACTGCTAGACATCACTGATCAAGCCAGATTTCTTCACCATGCTCAGCCCACATGTTGAAAAAAAAAATTAGAGATCACAGTGCAAGCTGGGATCCATAGAAAAGAGCCATTGACACATCACATGTTCCTTTAGACTGTTAGCGCTAACTAATACATCATTTTCATGCCACATCATCCAAGTCTGTGAAGAATATTACAGACACAACTCCCAGTCATGTTTAAGTACAATCAGAAAGGTTTATTCCTATAGGGAAATGACAAGTCAGTCAAGCTATCGTGCAAAAGATTACTCTGAAGGTCCACTCGCACAGCGAATCCACAGTTCTGTCTTAGATATTCATGCTGGAAGTAAAACTCATTTTTCAGCAGTCCTGCATGAGTCACTTGCAGCCATGTGTATATCACATGATTCTGAAAGTATTTTGCAAAATTATGTTTGCAAAACTTAATCCTTCTGGGCAGATTCTATCACAATATGTAGCACGAATACTTGATGAAGAATCAAACAGATCATGGACACAGCTACACTGCCGATACTTGTTCTTCATCAGTTCCTGCAGAAAAAAGGAAATAATATGATCAGTAGAAGTTAAACAGAAGCAACTGCAATTAGAAAACAAAACTATCACTGCTGACTGCATTTACAACCTGGAACCCATGTGGGGAGTTTAGCCATTTGAGAATGCCCAATTACCGACTAGTACAGAGCCACGATAAGGACATATAATGTACACAGTACAAGCGGAAGAACACAGCATTAAACAAGCAATTCTCAAAGAAATGAAGACCAACTCTCCCTCGCAGTCGGAGTACATCTGCCGGAGAGGCGGGGAACGAGAACAGCAAACAAATAAGCCAGTAAAACGGATGTACACGCAAAACTCAGGTCAAGGTAAAAGCCAAAAGTCCAATTGGACGAACAACCGGGACTTACCGCCGGAATTCACAGCCGGTGAACAAGAAGAAGAAGAAGAAGAAGAAGAAGAAGAAGAAGAAGAAGAAGAAGAAGAAGAAGAAGAAGAAGAAGAAGAAGAAGAAGAAGAAGAAGAAGAAGAAGAAGAAGAAGAAGAAGAAGAAGAAGAAGAAGAAGAAGAAGAAGAAGAAGAAGAAGAAGAAGAAGAAGAAGAAGACCAACTTAACCAAGTAGCTGGAGCACACAGACAGATTTTTTCTTCAAAACTGACCTTTGGCTTTCAGTTCAAATCCCCTTAAAATGGTTATTAGGTAATGTCCTAGGAAGTAAAGGGGGACAACAATGGCGCTAATATCATCCATCTTATATGGCTGGTAAATAAAAATATGTGTAGCTCTGTATGCCTGATGCGCCAAAAAAGGTGTGAAAAGGGTAACTGACTTTTCCTTAGAGAGAAAATCCTGACATCTACTTCAACTTTTTGCTGGAGTAATCAGAGGAAGAGAAGCAGAGAATGAATAAATAACACTGAACAACTCACCCTCCACGGGAGGGATATCATAACTTCGGTCTGCACCCGGTGAATGAACTCCTCCTGTGAAGACACTGCTATCATGAGAGTAGGATCTATGTTGATGGTGTTGGTGGTGGTGGTGCTGCTGCTGGCGTCTCACCATCTGAGCCATTGTTGTGGCTGACTCGTAATCAGGGAGTGGAGGTCGTCGCCCTGTAGGGAGACCGGTGGTTGGTGAATGGCTGGGCGCTGAAATACAATAATTCTATTGACAGTGTTCTTTTTTAACCTTTGAAGAAGAACTGTCTTTAACCTTTTCAATCAGCAAAAAATCTTTTTTTCTTAAATGACCTTTTTTAAAACTTCATTAAACAAAATGCATCCTTATTATTCTCGGGAACTGTGGCCTAAGAAACAAGACAAAGAGAAGAAGAACCCAGAAATAATTTGGTCAGCTGTAATTAAAACCCAAATAGGTACATCATTTCAGTTAATGTTCATAAAGTAACAACACACTTTAAGTGTCTGTTTATATTCACATAGCAAATAATACATGTGAATATCGGTTAATGTCCAGAAAGTATTTAACATATCTGAAGTGTCAGTTGATGTTCATAAAATATTTACAAATCTGAAGTGCCAATTAATTTTCATAAAGTACGGGTACATAACTCATTAACAATGAAAGTTAAATATTGATCTAAAGTGCCATAAAGTATAACTCACTGCAGTATCAATTAATGTACATAAAGTATACCTTAATTAACTATCATTTAAGAACCAACCGTATGCATACAAATAATCCAGATCTGTCAAACACCTGTGCAGACAAAACTTAAGTTCTGAAACAAGAGTCCAGAAGTGGACAACCAACCAGATATTGCCACCGGAGTTTACAGCCACTAAACTTCTTCTTCTTCAACTTTCTGAGCCCTTGAAGTTCATTGCTGCAGATATCACCCGCCTCCACTCATCTCTTTGGTCGGCCTTCTCTTTCCAGTTGGTGACACCAAGTGTTTGCAGGTCCCTCTGGACATTCTCTCTCCATTGTCTTCTTGGTCTGCCTGGTGGTATACGACCATTCATGTCCCTTGTGTATTCAGTTTTCACTTCTCTGTCTACTGACATTCTCTCAATATGCCTCAACCATTTTGTCTATTAGCTCTCATGATGCCAGTGATCAATGCTGAATTAAATGGATTATGAATTTAGTTGTTGCTTCTTACTCTCCATTAAGGCTTCATCTCTTTTAGTTGTGCTCCAAGTTTCAGAGCTATATATAAAACAACTGGTCTTAACATTTTATATATTTTGATCTTGGTGTTGCGAGACAGACACTTTGACTTAAGCAGCCAGTAAACACTAAGAAAAATAGAAGAAATAAATCAAACTCACCAAAGGTTGTTGTCATGGATGTGCCCTGTCTGACCGTGTTGTAGGAAGGTAGAGGAGAACGAATTTGTGCAAGCTGAGCTGAAATGATTAAGACATGGATGCTGTAAGTAAAAGTCTGCTGCATGTCCTCCTCAAGACAGTGTCAACCAGGGCTATACAACTGGCGGCTCGCGAGCTACAACTGGCCCGCCGAAGCGAAGTTTGTTCGTTCGTTCATTCGTTCATAAACCACCATCAAAAGAAAGAAGAGCCCAGTGCTCTAAGTGATAAGCTAGTCCTGCCTCATAAACCACCATCAAAAGAAAGGGGAGCCCAGTGCTCTAAGTGGTTAGCTAGTCCCTCCTCATAAACCACCATCAAAAGAAAGAAGAGCCCAGTGCTCTAAGTGATTAGCTAGTCCCTCCTCATAAACCACCATGAAAAGAAAGAAGAGCTCAGTGCTCTAAGTGATAATCTAGTCCTGCCTCATAAACCACCATCAAAAGAAAGGGGAGCCCATTGCTCTAAGTGATTAGCTAGTCCTTCCTCATAAACCACCATCAAAAGAAAGAAGAGCCCAGAGCTCTAAGTGATAAGTTAGTCCCTACTTATAAAACACCATCAAAAGAAAGAAGAGCCCAGTACTCTGATTAGCTAGCCCCTACTCATAAACCACCATCAAAAGAAAGAAGAGCCCAGTACTCTGATTAGCTAGCCCCTACTCATAAACCACCATCAAAAGAAAGAAGAGCCCAGTACTCAGATTAGCTAGCCCCTACTCATAAACCACCATCAAAAGAAAGAAGAGCCCAGTGCTCTAAGTGATAAGTTAGTCCCTACTCATAAACCACCATCAAAAGAAAGAAGAGCCCAGTACTCTGATTAGCTAACCCCTACTCATAAACCACCATCAGAAGAAAGAAGAAGAGCCCAGTGCTCCAACTGATTGGCTAACCCCTCCTAATAAACCAAAATCAACATGAAATGTTAAACAGAAATTTTGCTGTAATTACTGAAACTGTACATCCGAGGTTTTTAAATGTTTTATATTAGTGACATACTTTTGGGACAAACACAAGTTTGTGACATGGTAATTCAGCTAACTAACAAGCCATAGTTTTAACTAATCCTTTATAAGACATACAGACACACCTTCACACTACAGCCAACACAAATATGTCGCAATACACAGCGTGGAAAGCTCCGCTGCAGAGCAGCGAAAGGTACTGTCAAATGCTCACCTGGAGCAGGACAATAGACAGGACCTGCAGGGGCTGTCAATCTGCGGTGTGGAGGTGGCGATACATTCGAGCCAATACTACCGTGGCCTGAATCATTTTCTGAAGAATACTGACTTCTGAAACCTCTGATGCTGCCTGTGGAGCTCTGGGAATCATTGGATCCCAAGGAACCTAAGATGCACAAGAATAAACTGTGATCTATACAATATGACACCAACCAGGACAGCATTTAAATACCATCATCATCATGTAGCAGGTCCTTTGCAGAATGTCGCTTTCATCACAGTCTGCCTGAAAGAAACTCGGTCTCTTGATTTTTTTCAATCCTTCGCGGTGCTTGATATGACCAAAACATTTCACCTTAGCCATCTAACTCGATGTTCAGATCTTTCAAGATGTCAGTATTTCTCCTCTTCTTTGTCCAAGATATTCTGAGAATCTTTCTATAGCATTTCAGCTCAAAAGCCCCTATTCTCTTTCTTAAGGACTGGGAGATAGTCCATGACTCACATCCGTATGTTGCTACAGGAAAGATGCATGCTCTCAAAATTCTAATTTTGAGCTCTCAAAATTCTAATTTAGATTTTCTTGCTGGTGCTTACCCATAGACTTTTAATGCTGTTTAATCTTTGCATTGCTATGGCCGTCCTCCTTTTAATTTCTGCCAAACAGTCTCCACTGTTATTTATTATAGAGCCTAGATATTTAACCACCAGTACTAGCAAAAGTGGGCAGCCACAGTCACAAAGCAGCTAAACATCTGTCAGCCTGCAGCTCTTAGGTTCAACTCCATAGCCAGGCAGATTTTCTTCTCCCAAAACTGTCCTTAGCTCCCAGGCGTATCCAGTTTAAAATGAGCACCAGGTAATTTCCTGGGAAGTAAAGGCTACTGGCATGATGCTGACCCCTCTCCCCCCCCCCTCCCCCCAGAGTGTCCATGGTCAATAAAAAAATCTGAGTCCAGCATCAAATACCTAATGTGACCCTGGCACACAAAATTTGCCCTTTACTTTTACTTTCAAAACATGCAGCAACAGTGCCAAATGCTACACATATTACATTGGTTAAAAGTTTCATCCTGATTTAGCAGTAAAGTGTCCTAACTCTATGAACCTTGGTCATCTGGACTTTCAGACCCCTTGTATCAGATATCGAAAAGGAAAAGATCAAATTTGGTGGCATCTGTATTCAGTACCTGTGATCTTGTTAAAAGAAATGCCTTCATTATCCCTATTTTTTCAGTTCCTGAGCATATTTAAATGAAACTTGTCTTCAGTGATCATGGTTACTGATCTTCTTTCCCAGCATGCCTGTTCCAGGGCTCAATTCATCAGGAGGGATGAATAGATCCACCGCCCCAAAAAAGGCATAGATATCGCAGCCTGGCTGTAAACCACAACAAAGCCTGCCCACCGTCTATTTTAGATGATAAATCCAGGAGAAGATCTATTCCAGCACAGATCACAAACAGGATGTTGTGCTTGAGGTTTCCCACTGTGGCCTCATAGTTGAATGGTCACTCTTTGGGGAATCCTGTAGGACTGTTTTCTGTGATCGCATGCATGATTTACACAGATAGAAGAGTTCTTAGGATAAAATTGACTATCTTGAGAGACTTGATTGGGAGTTTTCTCATTAAATAAAAGACTACATTTATAGTTCCAACAGTTTCCCTTTACTTCTCTTGGGAACAAGCAACAGAATCAGTAGAGATAGAAGATTATTATGGCCTGGAGATAATGAGGAATCTGGGTGTAACCAGAGGGTCTGGCCGACTCACTACATTCAGAGGAAATGCAAGATGGATATATAACCAGATTGTGACTGGTACCATCAGTATTGGAACTCTGCACTGGCTGCTGAAGATGAGGATGGAGCATGCATGGGAATGCCCTGAGTGCTGTGATGTCAATTCTGGACTCAACCCAACTCCACTTCTTCTCTTGCGGGCCCCACTAACTGACAGCTGACCAATCTGCCCCCCCCCCCATCCTTCTGACCCATGCTGGGATTTAAAGGACAAAACTCAGATAAACCTTGCACGCACCTGTCTGTTTTCCGAGACAACAGTATTCCATTTTGTTATAGGAGGACATCTTCTCTCCAAAACACAAAGCCTGGGCAGTCTTTTAGAAAGCATGTCACATGAGCCTTCTCTCTGCCTGCTTTGATAACTCCAAAAGTAATGCCCACATGTTTGAATACACCATGCGGCAGAAGCTGCTGGATCAGAACAGCAATGCTTTGTCTGTCCATTAGTTGGAGCTTCCTTCCTACACCAGCTGAGTGCCCAGGCAAAGAGACTGATCTGCCCTGCCTTAACATTAGGCTTTCAAGCTGCATCTCCATGTCCTCGGGTAAGCAAATAAGCCTCACTCACAAGTAAATCTCCCCCTTTCAAAGCAATTTTGGCACAATTAAATTAAAAGGGAAAGCTATCTAACAGAATGATCAAAATAAGGAAGGGCATCTATAATGAAATAAACAGGGACAATGGTTATGTACAATGAGGTAACAGGGCATAAAAAAAATAAAGTCATTAACTGTACTGTCCTTGTCAGACTGAATTGCTGGCTAATCAGATCACTGTGCTATCTGGGTGAGAATTCTTGTAAAAAGCAGCTAATTAGGGGTTTGTTGAAATCGGTTGTGTTGGGTTAACAGGTGCAGATACTGCAGCCTCGCTGTAAACCACAACACAATGTGCCAAGGTAAACACAGAAGAAGAAGAAATAGAAGAAGAAGAAGTAGAAGAAAAAGAAGATAAAAGAGGAAGAGAAGGAGGAGATAAAGGAGAAGAGAAAAAGAAGAAGAAGAAATAGAAGAAGACAAAAAAGAAAAAGAAAAATGAAGACTGTCACATAACAGCATCAACTCTCCTACCACAATAGACCTACCCACAGTCTGGACACCCCTATACTAATTGGTGTATCTATATCTCAGTTAGTCCGTCTGTAGATATATAGTTCTTTTGTTATTGGGGAGTCCAGATGTGAGAAACATATATAAATCACTCCTAAATTGATCCTTCTTGGCGTATAGTGTCAATATGTATAATACGACACGTTTTCTGCACCTGTTCAAGCTTAATAGTTTGACCGCTTCACTGCGAGCTTGAGCAATATTATTGCCCAACAGTGGCAGTTAGAGACTAGAATCCTGTACATCACTACTACTCAGTCCGTTCAAGTGAACAGTTGTGTTTTTGGCACAGCGGCCACTTGATCGTCAATAAAGAATATTTCTTAGATAACATTTGTCTGTCTGGAGTGTATTTAATGTCTTGAGAAACTTGTATGATCTGATATGATCTTTTAATTGGTCTCCTTACTTGCTGAGTCGGATGACCGTTGAAAAGGGGCAGCGCTATTCTAAGAAAACATGATGTCACATCCTCCGTTGCTAGGAGAGAATATAACCAAAACAAGCTCAGCGTTCGGAAAAGCCTTTGACGGCTATTCTCCTATCCTGTCTTTAATATCCATCTTATCTACTTTATCTTTCTAACTGGTAATGTGGCAATGTATATATAGGGATAAGACTAGATGGAGATCTGACTGGCTTTTGCTAAGAAACAGGATTCAGAGACTGTTGCAATTAATAGAAACGTCTGACTAACTCTAGAGCTCACTCTGAGGAACTGAAAGGGCTCCCGAGATGGAGGAAGTCAACCTTATTGGTGTAGACTAGCCCACATTTACCTCTGAGCATTTATGGAGAGAGGGAGGAATGTGATTAGATTACATTAGGTGATGTTAGCTCATGTGTGTTGCCTTGTTGATTGCAGGATGTTTGAAGATCCAGCATATGTCCGTGTGGTAGTCTGGTTATCCAGCTAGCTGTCAACTTAGGAGAAACCAACCAATATTGACGTGTCATTGTCTCCTATGGCAGGCCATTTGTGAAGTCGATACCAGCAAGTCTCTGAGAGGACTTGGTAATCTTTCCACTGGTCGTGGAGAGAAGCATTATTGTACAGTCATTCCGGGAGTCGGGAGGTTGCAGAGATCTTCTATTCGGTACATCAGAGGAGCTGCAGAACCTAATGCAGATAAGTGTCATCTTAAGGAATACCATGGCAGCCAGAACCTGAATGCGCCCAATAATCTCTCTTCACTCTCCAGTCGATGATGAGCCCGGAAATGGAAGTGGCGACCTAGGGAGACCCGTTGTCTAGTCTTTAACTCTTTGAGAACATTATGAACTATCGTTTTGTTTCTCTTTGTTCCGCATTTCGTCTTCCTTTACCACAGTGAATTTATTACATTATGTTTCTTGTTCACAAGATTTCTTATTCTTGGAAGAAAGTTGTCTTGATGGAATCATTGGTCATAGTCAGAAGTGTATTCATGTCTTGTCAGACCTACTGTTGTTTATATATTCGACTGCGTTAACGTTGATTACCGGTCTGGGAGCAAAATTTGTAATGAGGATGTCTGGCCGAGTTGTACCCAAGAGTTTGTATTAACCCTGTGGAGTGAGAGCTCGAGTCACCTCATTCCTGAGATAGACTGAATGTATGTTTGAACCGAGGCATCTAGAAAAATGAGAGCCAACATTCAGAATACCCCTATCTCAGAGTACCTAAGGATTTCAGGAAAATAATCCTGAAGTAAAGGTACGTGACGAAACTGCCATACGACAAAGACTGAAGAAATTTTTTTTTTAATTGACAATATTTATTTGGGGTGTATGTTGGTGACTAATGGTTTAGATCTGGGGCAAGAAGACTGCCTAACTTTACTGGTAACTGTTGTGTTTAAAATAAATGTATAAGAACAATGTCCAGTGGGGGTGTTTGTTAAAGCACAGATGTGAGGAAAACATTATACCCATGGAGTATATTGGGCTTATTTACTGTTCAAATGTAAGTGAAAGAACAATGTCTACCTGGGGTGTGAACTGAGAATTGTTAGAGTTCAGATGTAATGATAAGGATGAAGAAGAATAGAGGAAAAAGACCGGGTTTGGTGGGAGGAAGTGATGTCTACAAAATATAGAGAAGATTTAGTTTACTTCTGAACCAGTGAATCATGCAGCATTTTCTTGTAATCAACAAAGTAACCATTGAGCTTGTGTAAATTACTTTATGTCCGCTGACTATAAGAAAAAGCATAATAATAAAAGGTCCTGAAGACAGAGCAAGATACACTTAGGCTTCAAACCTGTCTTCTAGAGACCAGTGAGTGACACGAAAACATGATGGCCGCATGTGATCAATGGGTCTTACCCGTTCTCACTGGCTGCTTCCTTGGCCCAGGACCCAAACATGAGCTCTCTGGTGTCAAATTGACAGGGAATGACCTCGCAGGGCCTGTTCTGGGTGAGGTGGGGCCCATCACCCTGTGGTTTGTGACAGGACTTACGACCTTGCCCACTGGAATTTTAGGGTTATGCGGTTTCACTTTGTCTGAGAGCGCCATTAATTTCCGCACTGCGCCAGGAGATTCTGCACCTGTGTTGAGAAAATGTTGTGCAACACAAATATGTACTGGCAAGCAAGCATAGATGGCTTAAATAATAAGGTGGGTAGTGAAGTGCGGTGAAAACATACACAGCCAAACAAGTAAAAACAAATGATTTTAACCAAAAAGCAGAGAACTAGAAAAAAAAATTTACGTTATGTTGATCTGGTGCAGATCGAATAAGTTACTATAGTCATTCTCTCACACTCCATGTGTGGGACCAGTTTTAGGGGAAAAAAGAATAGACCAGTGACTGTCCCCTAACAAGCAGGTTGTCCAAAGTGAACAATTAATTAGTGCTATGTGAAATCGTATGTGCTGGATTGAAAGGTGCAAATACTGAGGCTAACTCAAAACTACATTATAAACTACCTTCATTATACTTCACACTAAACTATATTATACTCCCTTCTACATTATACAATACATTCACACACTATACTACACACTAAACTCTATTACACTCCCATCTACACTATACTATGCATACACTCACTATACTACACACTAAACTATATTATACTCAATTCTACACTATACTATGCATACACTCACTATACTACACACTAAACTATATTATACTCAATTCTACACTATACTATGCATACACTCACTATACTACACACTAAACTATATTATACTCAATTCTACACTATACTATGCATACACTCACTATACTACACACTAAACTATATTATACTCAATTCTACATTATACTATACAAACTAGGGCTGTACAAAATGGTGATTTTCACTATTCGGCCGAATATGAATAGTGGGACCAACTGTTCGGCTAAATACGAATACGAATAGTGTATCATCATCATCAGGTGCCTTGCCGACTGGCATGGGCGATAAGCCCCGCCAATATCTGCGATCTCCTGCAGCATGTATCAGTTCGTGTGCTGACACACCTCCATGCCATGCAACAAGACTGTCAAGAATCTTCTCTCATTGTCTTCCTCTATCCCTCCTTCCACAGATCTTTTCAGTGGTCACATGTTCCATTTTCCCTCTTCTCATAACATGACCGAAAAATGACAACTATCTCCTTCTGATGTCTGTGATTAGTTGTCTTCAGGAACCCGCCTCTTTAAAAACCACTGTTCGCTCGGCCGTTCGTTCGATGTAATTTAAACGCACTTTCATATACTCGTTAGCAATATCTTTAAATTTGATTTGGGCGTGACACCCTGAAAAAAAACAAAAAATGCATGATCTCTCTCTCTCTCACACACACACAGACAAACACAAACAACAACAACAACAAAAAAAAAGAAAAAAAAAAGGACGCATAGCCTTTAAATATAAGTGCTTACTTGACGAAGCTAACAATTACTATTGTACAGACCATATTTTCCACTTTAAAATTTCAGCCAAAATGTAATCACAACCTTACTTATCCGCTGCACCTTCACGAATACAGATGGAGGGTCGCTCGTACGTCGAGATAAATACAAAGAAAATTTTTAGCATGCTGCGGTTGTCATTTTATGCAGTATGATACACTCTGAGTGTGAAAAAAAGGGGGAAAAAACTCTTTTCGCCAGTGGCAAGGAAAGACAATTTAAATTTTAATTTTTCAGGATCTTCATGCCTTCTTTAATAACTTCACAATTTATAGCCGGCATTTCTTGATTTTCGCCACTGCACCCTTGGCATACGCACCCAGTTTGAGAACCTCTGCTGTAATGCCTCGGTCGAGTCAGTAGGCAAAGACCTTTCCAGCTGCTGTACCACACAACCGAGTCACAGTTTTACCCGCTACGAGAGACTTAGGCAACAGCAACTACATTGTGTTAATGAGAGATTTATTTTAATCCATCGCAGTGTATGCAGAAACGGGTGTAAGTTAACCACTATTCGTATTCGGCCCGACCGAAGTATTTGGCTGAATACTAAATAGTTATTAGGTTTACTATTCGGCCCTGAAGCGAACACAAAGCGAATATTTGGTACAGCCCTAATACAAACACTCGTTATACTACACACTAAACTATATTATACTCCTGTCTACACTATACTATACACACTCACTTTACTACACACTAAACTATATTATACTTCCTTCTACACTATACTATACTATGTGTGCATGTGGGACATGAATGATACAGGCATTAAGATGGACTCTTGGGAACAAAATGCCATTGACCGTGTTCTAAACTATATTATAGACTACATTCACTATACTACACACTAAACTACATTATGCTCCCTCCTACACAATACTATACACTACACTCACTAAACTTATACTCCCTTCTACACTACACTACAGACTGCATAACACAAAGGTACACTACACAACACTTCTGCCATGATAAAGATTCAAATACAGGACCAGTAGGCCAAAAGGCAAGTGTTCTAGCCATAGTATCACCATTGCTGCAAAAGTGGTTTAATGCACATCTAGAAGAAACTCTATAGTTAAAACAATGTTGAAAAAAAAAAAATAATTATTCACAATTATCATGACATAACAGCTAAAAGTAAAGCAAATCAGTGCAAGAGTATCATTCTAGAAAAAAAACAAAAAAAACCCACAGTGGAACTACAAGTAAATAAAAATAACCACATGTTTTCTAACAAGAACAAAGGCTATATATTTCAAGAATACATATAAAGAAGAGTTCTCATTAGCAAACCTGGGCATTTTCTTCTAATGTCATCTCAAAGCATCACCATATGATACCACATTCATTTTCTAACTTTTCTTCTTGAATCAAATGGCAACACTAGTTGAAAATGTCATACATCATAAGCCTAGGAATCTCTGGTGGTAATAAAAACTATCGTTAGCTGTTCAATAATGGCAGCGCTTGATCTTTCCAGAATGATCCTGCATAATATCTTTCAAGAACTGACTATACCATCTCCCTATAATTTATGAATTTTTGCAGTCCCTATTTTTTATTTTATTTTATTTTTTTATATTTTGTGTGTGCATCATCAGATACCCTATCCAATCTGCTTGTAGATCTTAAAATATTCTAAATTCTATAACAACAAAAACAATCTTTGCAGTAATTCAGTTAAGGTGTTTATATTAATTTAAATAGCCTCTGCTGGGGTATCATATGGATCAACAGATTTCCTACTGTTCAAGAGTTTTTTCCTAAGTAACTTTCCTAATATTCTCAGTAGACAGTTTCTCACAACTGAAATCCAGTCCCACCTCTGCTGGCTCGTATGCGTGTGTGTGCGCACACATGAGTGCACATATACATATGTCTGTCTGTTTCTCTCTCTCTCTCTCTCTCTCTCTCTCTCTCTCTCTCTCTCTCTCTCTCTCTCTCTCTCTCTCTCTCTAGGATGGTATAATCAGACAATTATTATCACTGTATTTAGCTATCTGTTCATTTTATATACTTTTACTGAAAACTTTCTCATTACTTTATTTTTAAAAATCATTCCAATTGAATGATTATATTTTCCTTGTAATGCAAAATATAGCACACATGGTGATTATTTCAGCAACAATAAACAACAAAAATAATAAACAGTGAATATAAAAAAAAAAAAATTAATGATGTTTCAAAAGTGGTAAACAAGCAGTTAAAAAAAATATTCATAAAGAATTGATATAATCACGAAACTGTTCACATTTCCTCTGAGTTGTTACTTCTTACATAATTAAGATTCAATATAAATGATAAAACTAGAGGTTGATCACTAGCTCATTACAAAGCAACATTGCAAGTGATGTACAGAGTAACAAACGAAGAGGAAGGAATCAAAACGTACATATCTGGCAAACATTATCAAAAGAAAGAAATCAAAGATGGCTTGGATATGTTGGCAGAATGCCTTCAGTGGGAAAAAAAAAACATGGAAAAAGAACTGTGGATGACTTAAAGAAACCTGAAGAAGGTAGCAGAAAGTGAAATGTGGAATGTCAACTGACATAGAGTACAATGGGCAAAAGCAGGCCGAAGGCAATGAAGATCACCTGCAAATACCTTATGCATCAACAATGATAAGAACAGGAAATATACTATTTTGAAAAAAAAAAAAGGACAAGAAACTCATAGCTTCTGAAAGGAACACAATTTGAAAATTCAAAATCTTAGATATTTAATGAGTGAAATGTTTCAAATTGCACACAAAAAATGTTGGTTTTCAACCAATCATTTCGTTCTTTTAAATCTGGGTCATCAATAGTTTTTAGGTGTACAGGCTTTCCTGTCAACTAATAAAAACGTGCCAACAGATAACTAGTCTTTTTAAAATTTAATTTTTAATTATTTTCACTATTTCACTATAGATATATATAGTGTCAAATTAAAAACTCTTCAAGAATCAAAGGCCAGTAAATGGAGATGATAATCAAATGTTCTTCATAGATAAGGTAACTAAGTTCTACCTAACTGTTTGTTTCATTTGATTCTTTTGAAATTTTCATATTATAAAAAGTATGTCCTGTTAGAATATCATGACACTCTGGGTTTGCAAGTTCGTAAGGCAGGACAGTTAGCAAGAAGCCAAGCGGCTTTCAAGTTAGCCATGATGACAGTGTCATTGTGCAAAGGATTCTTCAGCTATTCTGCAAAAAATGGTTCCAAGTTATCAAGGCTAAAAAAATACCCCAACAGGACCTCAATCATATGTAAATTGCTGACTCATTTCCAGCGAATATACCGCAAAAAGTGGGAAACACTCCTCCAAAAAGTGGTCCCAAATCATCGAGAGTGTCAACAGCTTTGACCCTGTGTGCTAGGTTTAGCTTCTATTCTGGGTCCTAGGCTTAGCTTCTTCCCTGGGTCCTAGGCTTAGCTTCTCCCCTGGGTCCTAGGTTTAGCTTCTCCCCTGGGTCCTAGGTTTAGCTTCTCCCCTGGGTCCTAGGAATAGCTTCTCCCCTGGGTCCTAGGCTTAGCTTCTCCCCTGGGTCCTAGGTTTAGCTTCTTCCCTTGGTCCTAGATTTAGCTTCTCCCCTGGGTCCTAGATTTAGCTTCTCCCCTGGGTCCTAGGTTTAGCTTCTCCCCTGGATCCTAGGTTTAGCTTCTCCCCTGGGTCCTAGATTTAGCTTCTCCCCTGGGTCCTAGGTTTAGCTTCTCCCCTGGGTCCTAGGTTTAGGCTTAGGGTTAGGGTTAGAGTTAGGGCAAGGAGTACTGCAATTACGACACCACCACCAGAATCTGTCACAACAGTGGAACTGTGACACTATCGATTGACGGGTTATGGATGGAACTTACGCAGATGCAACGTTACCATGGCGGCACTAGTCGTGTGTTGTTTACTGAATATTTAGCGCAGTTTCCTGGTGGCACAGTCACAGACATTGAGGCCCTGTTGAGGTATTTTTTTAGCCTTGATAATTTTGGACCGTTATTCGGTGGATAGCCGATTTTTCTACTTCTGCATTTCCCCTGACATAAGCAGCTTCCTCTGGGTTCCGGGGCCCCATCATGGGGAAAACAAAAACAGACCAATTGCCTTCCCAACAAGCATGTCATAAGAGTTGACTAACTGGGGGCTTCCTTCGAAGTCAGAGTGGATCTGCCTAAGAGGCAAGAAACCAACAATCTGCATACAATTAAGTCAGATCTGTTAAATGGTTGTGCATGCAACACTTAGGTTCTGGAACAAGACTAAAGTCCAGAGGTAGACAGTAGACAAACAACCAGAACCTTCTGCCAGAGTTTATAGCTGGTGTATGTGAAGAAGACCAAGAAGATAAGAGTAGCTGTTGACACACTGTTGTTTAGTTGGGCAATGGGTCTACACCCCCCCTCGCCCCCTTTTTTTCCCCCAGGGACACGGAGCCTACACACACGGATAGCATCATGCTGACAATGAATAAAAAAACAGAACATCAATCGTCTAATAATAATTCAGCAACCGCAACCTACCAACTACTCAAACCCATCCCAGCTATACAACTACTAGCCGCTCAAAAGTTCTAAATCTGCGAGATGTGAGAGAACTGGGAGATGTATTACAAGAACATGAAAGACATACCAAACTTGGGTCCCACAGAACTTGTTGCTCTCTTCTCCTCCATGTTGGGGGAGCTGCTGACACTAGGAGATTGTTCTCGTTTTTTGACTGAGAGAAGACAAACCACTATATTTCTCAACAATGTCTTTACAAATGATGATTTACTTACTTCAATACATACATGTGCTGTGTGATTTCAGCCACTGAGACCTATGTTCTCTAGCTTTATTTTGCGGTCAGAAGACTGAAATGAATTCTGGCTTCCTCAATGTTCACTCTGACTGTAATAAATTAATTTATCAATTTTTCAAAGAGTTTGCCTCTTTGTTCAGTCGCTAAAATTGATGGGATTGAAAGACTTTAAAAAAAAAAACCGGCATCTAAAGAATTATGGGCGTACCTGGATTCTTTGCTCCTGCCATAAATATTCTAAGATGTACCATATTTTGTCCATACATAAGACAATATGTTTTCCCAAAATTTTTAAGCATAAAATTGGGGGTTGTCTTACTCACAAAATGTGATTAAAATTGTTATTTCCTAATTCTGGGCTAAAATAAATATGAGTAATTTGTTGATGTTACCATTATTTTCATTCCTGGGCCTAGCAACCTTGGTGTCAATGAAGGTGATAAAAGGAGTGGTTACTCCAGATGTTACCTTGAATGGTTTAGATGTTCCCTGATTTATTCTAAATACGCTTTTACAATCGCTATATGAGCTTTCGCAATCTTCAATGAGGTGTACACTTACTCCACATTGAGCCATTACTTTCTATCATTTTTGTACCCATCGAAAGCTTTCTCCTGGTCTACAAATAAGCTCTGATCCTATTCAATGTTCTATATTCAATTCTAATGATATAATGGTTATAAACAGATTAGGATTGTCCCTTCATACATCCCACCACACTCGCTGAAGTCATGCTTACATCTATATCATAGTTTGGTATGTTTTATCTGTCTTTGTATCTTCAGATAGCAGTCGCCCATATTCAAAATGTCTGCCTTGCCCATCTTGTGTTTTCTGCTCACTGTTGCTCATGGAGCCAACAGATTTGATAGCTTGCTAACCTATACTCCAGCTTGACTTAAACATGAACAACAGGATGCAAGTGTGAGAGGGGAGTGTTCTTGCGAGTCTATTAGGGGTTTTCAACATTGATTGTGCGAATGTAGTACAAGCACCTTGATTGGCGAATCCACTGGGTGTCTGTGACCGGAGTCAACATTTTGACTCTGTGTTGACTTAAGATAGGAGATGTCAGTATGGCTAGAGTCAATATTGTGATTCTGTGTTGACTTAGGGCTGACCATTGGGTTGGCGAGGTGTCAACTAGCTGGGGGTAAATTGTCATACCTACTTCGTGTTGAGTGAGATTGGGCATGAGAGGTGTGCAGGAAAGAAAGGGAGAGTGAACGTCTTGAGTTGCATAGAGAGCTCACAGGGCATGCATGTGTATATACCAGGGTTTTCAGTTGAGTAGAGGACACTCTAGAGAACAGTCCAGAACACTCAGTTGGCAGAGTTGAGCATTCTCTGTGATAAAAGCTTGTTTTGGGTGAAGACGCATTTGGCGGTCGTGATCACTATTGAAACAAGACAGCAGTTTTACATACGAGGAAGACCCTCGCAGATGTCCGCAAATAGTTGTATGCTTAGAGGATTTAGAGTTAGGAGCCGATCATCATAGATTTCCTCGACTAGGCTGATGTGCACATTATAGAGCTTAAGAATTGTGAAGTTTCCAGTCAGCCGATGGGAAAGTGTCGGCTATGAGTATAGCATCGGAGGTCAAGCTGAGTAAGCTAGATGGAGCCTGTTCATCCTTACTGATAGCCCTGATGTGAGGGTAGCCAGCCAGCTGGGCACTGAAGCTGTGAGCTCAAGAGCTGTAGTGACAGCTAGTGTAGGCTGTCTGATGGAGCTTCGTTAAACTGTTTTGATAAGCAGAGTTTGTGACATTCATTTCATGTTTAGCCAGTGTTAGACATGTGTTCATTATTATTTGTGTGGGTGTGTGTACCCACACGTGCTTGTGAAATAAATGTGTATATATAATGGTATGCCGTCATTTGAGTTTTTCTGACTGTATGCAAGTTGCAGCGAAGATCATATCCTAGACAATCATTTGACCACATGTTCATCTGCTGCCAGTATTGACGCGTGCCCCTCCTCCCCTCTTCTCTCTCTCTCTCTATGTCTTTAAATTTTTCCTCTGTCAAGATCTCACTTGACCAGATGACAAGAGACATTTTATTAGTTTCATTTACAAAAACTGAACATTAAAAAACATTAAAAACAAAGTTTCCCCAAAAATATGAACATTGACAAAATAGTAGCACATCTCTTTTAATAACACCTGTAATAGTATAGCTAAAGACTCACTTGGGGCTTCACACTGGTTGGACAGTTCTGTAATCTTGTCCTCATCTGTGATACAGGGTATATTGCTAAGATAGGATCTCACTCGACGCATCATCAGAGCCTAAAGAAAAACAGTAAAGTATTTTTACCGTCTCAACATACATTAATTTAAATGCGATTTTTTTTTTCTAATTGTGTGCTGACTCAGTAGAGGCTTGCTGCAGTGCATCCATTGCAGTCTTTGTGAATATTTTATAAGACCCCAATCTCATTTATGATATGATTGAAAGACATGAGGCTTTATTTTTTCTAAACACTACAGACATCAGATCTTTGTAAGTCAAGTATTTTTTCCTGCCAACAACTGCCTCTTTCAAACTGCTAATTTGTGTTTTAAAAAAAGAGGTGGGGGGGGGGGGGGGAGAAAGAGGGGAGAGAAAGAGCGGAGAGAAAGAGGGAGGAAAGAGAGAGTAAGCGAGAGAGGGAGAGAGAGGGAGAGGGAGAGAGAGGGAGAGGGAGAGGAGAGAGTGAGAGAAGGGGAGGGAAAGGGAGAGGGGAGAGAGAGAGAGAGAGAAAGAGAGAGAAAGAGAAAAAGAAAGAGCGAGAGGGGGGGAGAGAGAGGGACAGAGAGAGAGGGAGAGAGAAGGAATGTGTGCGGCTCTCACTTCTGTCTGTCTACAGGGTGAGTCAGAAAAAAGGCTACATGTGAGCATGTATCAGAAAGCAACAAGTGACTTGCCTAGGGTTACACATTTCAGGAAATTTGTTTTATTGTTGTGTGTTGTCAATTTGAATAAATGGTCTTATTTTTATAGCCAAAATTCTGCCATATGTTAATTTACGCGATTAAAGATGTCACTATATGTCCAACTCAACCTCTGTCTGTCTGTCTGTCCATCCATTTATGTGTAAAATATACTTGTATATATTTACATTATGAGTCATTATAATAATATTATTATATTTTCCTGTGTGGGTTTCAGTGCCCACATTTGGGAAAACAAGAATTGACTCACTGTCTCTGTAACAAGCGTATTATAAAAAGTCAATTAGTAAGGGTTTTCATTCAAGTCAGAGCGCATCTTCTTGGTGATGCAACCAACAGTCTGCAAACAAAAAAGCTGGATCTGTAAAACGGATGTGCACAGGACACCTAAGCTCTGGAAAAAGATTAAAGCTCAGAAATAGACGAACAACCAGAACTTTCCGTTGGAGCTTACAGCTGTTGAACATGAAGAAGAAGAAATTATATTGTTCTATATTTTGTGTGTCAGTGTGTGTGTGTGTGTGTGTAAAGTATGCTAAATACTCATGAACTGACCTCTTCATACATCTTCTTGGCATTTGGTAAAGCAGAACTTCTTCTGTTCTTTGTTCGCTTAAGTGTGGCCATGCCGGAGACCAGGGAACTCTGATGACTGCTGTCTGCACTGAGAAACATGCTGCTGGAATCCTGAATGGATGACAAACAGGCAACAGGTCAATATCAGCTAATTTCTTTCTTGTTTTCTTCTCTCTAGTCCCTGTTCTGCCTTTAAAGTATAGAAGACAGCAAGATATTGTGACTTTTATAATGAAAAGCGGACTAAAAGTGGCAGTTAAATTGAAGATACAAGAACTGAGGATATGAGAGTGGGCAAGGGGAAACCTTGAGAATAACACTGCTGGGAGCGGACAAAAGTGCTAGAATAAATTTCATTCATAATATCGAAAAAATTGCGCATGATAGGAAGTACCAAACAGCTAGCTCTTTGACACATGTATAATAACACAACATGATGATGATGAAATTGATGATCTTCCTTCTTTTAGTGTCAGGTTCTAAAGAGGCAACTGGGGGCCAGTCTTGGTAGGTCCTAGGTAATTGATACTATTCACAACCTCATATATTATCTACCCATCATCTGCTTGGGTAATCTCCAGCACTGCTTCCACTGTATCTTTCTGATAGGGATTTCTGTGGTGCAGGGTTGTGTGGTAGTCTTCTCACATGACCAAACCATCAAACCTCTGACCTGTTGTCAGATGTGGCTTAGCACTGGTTCCATCGACACATTTCCTAATACTATTACGAAGCCTGTCCCTTACTGTCAAATTCAGAATTCATCATGGACTTTCAACAAGACAGAACTGGAGATAAATCTGTTCAAGCAAATGTAACAAAATAATTTTTAACAAGACATAGGGGGAAAAAAAACAGATTTACCCAGACAGTTTTCATCAAGACTGGCCAGGATCAAAATACATCTAACCTGATCTCATCAAGACAGAGCAGGATCTAGACACATTCAACCAAAACATTATCAACAAGACAGAAGAATCCAAAAACATTTAACCTGATCTCACCAAGACAGAGCAGGATCTAGACACATTCAAACAAAACATTATCAACAAGACACAGGAGGATTCAAACATATTTTATCTGATCTCATCAAGACAGAGCAGGATCTAGACACATTCAACCAAAACATTATCAACAAGACACAGGAGGATTCAAACATATTTTATCTGATCTCACCAAGACAGAGCAGGATCTAGACACATTCAACCAAAACATTATCAACAAGACACAGGAGGATTCAAACATATTTTATCTGATCTCACCAAGACAGAGCAGGATCTAGACACATTCAACCAAAACATTATCAACAAGACACAGGAGGATTCAAACATATTTTATCTGATCTCATCAAGACAGAGCAGGATCTAGACACATTCAACCAAAACATTATCAACAAGACACAGGAGGATTCAAACATATTTTATCTGATCTCATCAAGACAGAGCAGGATCTAGACACATTTAACCACAACATTATCAACAAGACACAGAAGGATTCAAACATATTTTATCTGATCTCATCAAGACTGAGCAGGATCTAGACACATTTAACCAAAACATTATCAACAAGACACAGGAGGATTCAAACATATTTTATCTGATCTCATCAAGACTGAGCAGGATCTAGACACATTCAACCAAAACATTATCAACAAGACACAGGAGGATTCAAACATATTTTATCTGATCTCATCAAGACAGAGCAGGATCTAGACACATTTAACCAAAACATTATCAACAAGACACAGGAGGTTTGAGGATTCAAACATATTTTATCTGATCTCATCAAGACAGAGCAGGATCTAGACACATTTAACCAAAACATTATCAACAAGACACAGGAGGATTCAAACATATTTTATCTGATCTCATCAAGACTGAGCAGGATCTAGACACATTTAACCAAAACATTATCAACAAGACACAGGAGGATTCAAACATATTTTATCTGATCTCATCAAGACTGAGCAGGATCTAGACATATTCAACCAAAACATTATCAGCAAGACACAGGAGGTTTGAGGATTCAAACACATTTGACACTAAATTACAGTTATGTTTTCTCCATGCATATTCTATCCAACACCAGCATCTATTCCACACCACCTAATTGAGTAAATCTTAGTTTTTCCCTTGACATTAGTTAAACTGGCTTACCACTGAAAACATTAGTCTGACACACAACAAACAATTGAAAATAATCATCAACAGATAATCCACCATAATATATTCTTACATATTTGACAGAGCACATGTTGCAGATGTGCCTGACCTCCTTGGCAATCATACGAAGCTTCTCAAAGTTGATCAATCCATCCACATATGAATCATTTCCAAGATGAATGAATGTGAGATCTTTCTTAAATATAGGAAAAAATGGAATCTGTGGAAAGAGGTAACAGTAATTAAGGAGTCAATCAGGAAAATGAAGACTAAATAAAAAAAATGATGTCAGGGAATGATCATTCAATTAGTCTGTCCTACCCCAAGTCTAGACGATAAACTATGGAATAATTATGAAGTAGCTGAGAAGTCAGGGAATGATCATTCAATTAGTCTGTCCTTCCCCAAGTCTAGACAACAAACTAAGGAATAATTATACAGCAGCTAAGAAGGCAGGGCATGCTCATTCAATTAGTCTGTCCTTCCCCCAGTCTAGACAACAAACTATGGAATAATTATACAGCAGCTAAGAAGGCAGGGCATGCTCATTCAATTAGTCTGTCCTTCCCCCAGTCTAGACAACAAACTATGGAATAATTATACAGCAGCTAAGAAGGCAGGGCATGCTCATTCAATTAGTCTGTCCTTCCCCCAGTCTAGACAACAAACTATGGAATAATTATACAGCAGCTAAAGAAGGCAGGGCATGCTCATTCAATTAGTCTGTCCTTCCCCCAGTCTAGACAACAAACTATGGAATAATTATACAGCAGCTAAGAAGGCAGGGCATGCTCATTCAATTAGTCTGTCCTTCCCCCAGTCTAGACAACAAACTATGGAATAATTATACAGCAGCTAAGAAGGCAGGGCATGCTCATTCAATTAGTCTGTCCTTCCCCCAGTCTAGACAACAAACTATGGAATAATTATACAGCAGCTAAGAAGGCAGGGCATGCTCATTCAATTAGTCTGTCCTTCCCCCAGTCTAGACAACAAACTATGGAATAATTATACAGCAGCTAAGAAGGCAGGGCATGCTCATTCAATTAGTCTGTCCTTCCCCCAGTCTAGACAACAAACTATGGAATAATTATACAGCAGCTAAGAAGGCAGGGCATGCTCATTCAATTAGTCTGTCCTTCCCCCAGTCTAGACAACAAACTATGGAATAATTATACAGCAGCTAAGAAGGCAGGGCATGCTCATTCAATTAGTCTGTCCTTCCCCCAGTCTAGACAACAAACTAAGGAATAATTATACAGCAGCTAAGAAGTCAGGGAATGATCATTCAATTAGTCTGTCCTTCCCCCAGTCTAGACAACAAACTATGGAATAATTATACAGCAGCTAAGAAGGCAGGGCATGCTCATTCAATTAGTCTGTCCTACACTCAGTCTAGGCTACAGACTTAATGGTTCTGGTCCCTGTAAACAGACATAATAACCCCCTACCCCCCCCCCCTTTTTTTTTTTCCACCCACCCGTCAGAGAAAAAACAAACAAACATGACACACAGTTTGTTAACTTACATATGGCGGCTGTACATGCTCACTGTTGATGAGATTACGATACTTGGCCATGTTACGAGAAGGATCCATCAACAATTGTAGATCCTGAACAATGACAGAAAAATCTCATAAAGAAACAATAATAAACAACAAAGTGAATAAATAAAAAAAAATAAATAAAGAACTCTCTGCAATGCCTTGAGGCATTGTTCTTCCTTTAGTGGTCCATGAACAAGTTAAAAGGGTCTATGATAACCTTTACACAAAGAAAAGTCAAGTTAAGAATGTAACCTTGTATGTGATTCCGATATTTATAAATTATAACCATATCTTTATTATGACTATTATAAAAATATGTGGTTGGTAGCAGATCTGTGAAAATACCAGCGGTCTACAGGTTTTAAATAATTTGGAAGCACTGCATTAAGGCATATTGCCTTTATAGTTAAAAAAAAAATATATTTAGTTTTAACACCACATTTATATAAGCCTCCTAAATGTGTATAGGTCATGGATTAATATGCCAGCTGCCTTTGCTTTCCTATATATTTTTTAAATACTCACTTAGGAGGCAAGATCAGTTTTAAAAAAAAAGGCCTCAATGCTGATTCCAACACAAGCCTTCAGACAAGCGGGCAAATATATAACCACTTTCAAAGAAATCTGGCTACAATGGATCTTCAACATTCCTTGTCTCCTTCTTTGGAAGCATATTCTCAGTCAGTTATTAATTCACTTCTTACTGCTGTCCTTCTACTAGTTTGCTGTCTACCTTATAACTTTTTGTTTTTATTATGTGGACAAAATATGTGTTTATTTTACCAACAGCCTTTTTCCCCCACATTTCCAGTCCCCCCAGTATCTCTGTATTTGATTATTATTTTTTTCCTATGAAAAGCGACATACTTTTGGGTATATTCATGATTCAGGGATTTAATTCAACTTCTTAACTGTTGACTCATTGTCCAGATTTCTGTGCCAAATGGCAGTAACAAGTATGTGTGTGTATGTATGCATGCATGTATGTATGTATGTATAACTTCTCAGTATTCTGAGCCCTTGATATTTTATTGCTGCAGATATCACCCACCTCCATTCATCTCTCTTGTTGGCCTTCTCTTTCCAGTTGGTGACACCAAGTGTTTGTAGGTCTGTCTAAACATTATCTCTCCATCGTCTTCTTTATCTGTCTCGTAGTCTCCTGACTATTCAGCTCCCTTGTGTAAAGTTTTTACTTCTCTGTAATCTGACATTCTCTCAGTGTGAAACTGTTAAAACATTAATTTCTCTATGGCTCTTTATGGGACACAATTCAGTGGTGTAAGTAAATATTCCACGAATTATTTTGGTCAGATCCCATGTCGATAGCACATAAATGAGTATTTTGATAATGGTGGCTGAAGTTGAAAGAGTCTAGGGAATATTCTTGAAACTATGGATTATTGTCCTGATTGTTTTAAATCAGAAAAGGAAGGTAAATTTATCTCTGGACAGTTTCATGACTGTGACTTTGATAATTGTTTGAACTGCCATCGAAAACACTGTCAAAACTAGAAGACAATGTTTCACTTACAGCAGTGACGTGGCAGTCGGAGGTATGTGTGTTATGCTACATTAGTCAGGATAAATTGTTTTACATGTGCTTAAGGAGCGAATTGTTAGATGCGTCTGTTAGTGTAGATTAATGTTCCATTAAGGCTCTTCAGCTTAAGAGTTCAGTGTATATTGTTTCAAAATGCAATCCACAACATTTACCTGGGTGCATTTTACACTATACGCGTTCGAGGAAAAGATAATTCTGTGGCTTTTTGAGCTTGATAATTCAGTAGTCATAATGTATCAGATGTTGGTGCAAAATGGCAAACAGCTAACGACTTTGCAGAATTTTAAATCTAAAGTTAGGCAGAGCATTCATCCAAAATTATTTATATGGGATCCCAGCTCAATTACATCAATTCTCTCAATTTTACTCGTTACGATCCACCCACGCTGGACTATTGGTTAGTGTGTAACCATTTTTAATGTTGAATTACGAATCGACATCACAGCACTCAGGATACTACCATAAACGCTCTGTTCCCATCTTCAGCAGCGAGCCAAGAGTTCCAATTCCGATGGCACCAGTAACTGTCTAAATGTCCATCTCCCCTGAGTGTTGAGAGTTGGCTAGATCCCCTGGTGAGTCCTCGCAGCACCATTCATATTAAACTTGTACCTCTATACTCTTCAATCGCTCCAAAACGGTTTTGTGGTTCCCCAATATAATTCTGCTATATGGCTAAACGATTAAACAGGGTTTCTGTGGATTTTTATCTGATTCTCAATCTTAGGACGTTAAGTCTACAGAAAGCGATCCTGGAAAGGGTTGGGGGTGGAGAGGGGTATAAATGAAACTCTGGTTAGCTTTAATTAGTTTAGCATTTACACAGTATTACTCTCATAATTTGACAACATGCAGCAACATAACCACCTCAAACAGCTTCAAGTATTTAGTGGGTAGCTTCTCCCAGGTCGACTTCAAGCGGGACACAGACCCATGACCCAAGCCACTCAGAATAGCAAACATGGAGTTGAAGTTCTTGCAATCTTTACAGTGCTCTAAAAACACACAAACAAAAATACTTTATTTGGATTATATCGTGTTTCACACAAACAATGAGTTTTAAAAAAAAGAGTTTCTTAAGGGATATGAAATGAAAGGACAGTTTAAAAAAAATCTAAATTGTGAATTTAGATAATAAGGAGTAGACTTCCTAATTTATAATTTACCGCACACCCAACCAGCTAATTCTGAGCTAGACAATCATGTCTGTAAGATTACAAAGTCATACACTGTAAAAGTGATTCAGCCTCCTTGCACAATGATGATAAACGGTCCTTGTTTTAAATGCATACAAAAGCAAAAGAACGCACAACTGTTTTATACTTTTTCAACTTTGTCCAGAATTCTTCCAGTTCTGTTGCACATGTCACCGTACAGTCTATCTAACACACTCCTGGTACTTGAGATCTAGGCTTTAATGTCAAGAATAATGGTGATATTCTGAGAGAATGAACTTCTAATGGACACTGACACAAGAACACGACAGAAAACTAACCACCTGTGGGATGAGATGTTTCAGATTGGCTGTGAATAAAACCAGAAGAGATCGAGTGAGAAACCATGTGATCACAAAAACTGTGGGAATAACACCCATTGTCAAATTTAACGAGAAACAAAGAATGAAATGGTTTGGCCAGCTAATGAGAATGAAATCAACGATGCCAGTGACAAGAGCGTACAACCTGAAAATCAAAACTTCAAGTGGCAGGGAAAGACAGAGAAGAAGAGGGATTAAAGGAGTCACTGACACCATGAGACTGCATAACATCACGGCATATCAAGCGAATGAGTGCGCCCTGGTCAAAATCGCCTAAATAGGTATTAGATAATGTCCTCAGAAATAAAGGTGGCCGCTGAGAAATAAAGGTGGCCACTGAGAAATAAAGATGGCCACTGAGAAATAAAGGTGGCCACTGAGAAATAAAGGTGGCCACTGAGAAATAAAGGTGGCCACTGAGAAATAAAGGTGGCCACTGAGAAATAAAGGTGGCCACTGAGAAATAAAGGTGGCCACTGAGAAATAAAGATGGCCACTGAGAAATAAAGATTGCCACTGAGAAATAAAGATGGCCACTGGGAAATAAAGGTGGCCACTGAGAAATAAAGGTGGCCACTGAGAAATAAAGGTGGCCGCTGAGAAATAAAGGTGGCCGCTGAGAAATAAAGGTGGCCACTGAGAAATAAAGGTGGCCGCTGAGAAATAAAGGTGGCCGCTGAGAAATAAAGGTGGCCACTGAGAAATAAAGGTGGCCGCTGAGAAATAAAGGTGGCCGCTGAGAAATAAAGGTGGCCACTGAGAAATAAAGGTGGCCGCTGAGAAATAAAGGTGGCCGCTGAGAAATAAAGGTGGCCGCTGAGAAATAAAGGTGGCCACTGAGAAATAAAGGTGGCCGCTGAGAAATAAAGGTGGCCACTGAGAAATAAAGATGGCCACTGAGAAATAAAGGTGGCCACTGAGAAATAAAGGTGGCCACTGAGAAATAAAGATGGCCACTGAGAAATAAAGGTGGCCACTGAGAAATAAAGATGGCCACTGGGAAATAAAGGTGGCCACTGAGAAATAAAGGTGGCCGCTGAGAAATAAAGGTGGCCACTGAGAAATAAAGATGGCCACTGAGAAATAAAGATGGCCACTGAGAAATAAAGATGGCCACTGAGAAATAAAGGTGGCCGCTGAGAAATAAAGGTGGCCACTGAGAAATAAAGGTGGCCACTGAGAAATAAAGATGGCCACTGGGAAATAAAGGTGGCCACTGGGAAATAAAGGTGGCCACTGAGAAATAAAGGTGGCCACTGAGAAATAAAGGTGGCCACTGAGAAATTAAGGTGGCCACTGAGAAATAAAGATGGCCACTGAGAAATTAAGGTGGCCACTGAGAAATAAAGGTGGCCACTGAGAAATAAAGGTGGTCACTGAGAAATAAAGATGGCCACTGAGAAATAAAGGTGGCCAACATGGCGGTGATCACATTACCCACCGAGTACTGATTGGTCTATACACATATAGGTCAAGCACCATATGTCAGAAGTATCACAGCGTGAAAGGGGTCATTTACTTTATGATATCTACTGTAAACAGCTGTGTACCCCCACAAATATAAAAATATTACAACATAATGTACATCACATCCACCCGACAAGCACACAAAATTCAATCATGTGTATGGTTTACTTACTGGATATTTTGATAAAATGCTTCAACAACTTTGTTCGTTTGACTAGATTAGTTTCACTGCAGATCTCAGTCACAACCCAGAACATTTCCTTATTTACCAGCTGAAAGAGACAAGCAATAGTGTTTATACAACAAACAATACTTAATTTTAACAAGTGTTTTTTAGCCCTATTGCAACACACAGGACTTAATTTTCAAAAGCAGTAAAAAAAAATAAATTGCAACACAGAAGACTTAATTTTGAAAAGGTATATTTTCTATTGCAACACACAGGATTTAATTGTAACATATATTTACTATAATGCAACATGTAGGACTTAATTTTAACATGTATTTTCTTTATTGCAACACAGAGGACATAATTTTAACATGTATTTCCTTTACTGCAACACACAGGACATCATTTTAACATGTGTTCTCTCTTCTGCAACACAAAGGGCCTAATTTTAACACATATTTCTTGGCTGCTCTCTACAATAATGAACAGGCTTTTGGCTATGGATCTTCACCGCTGACCTTAATGCCAGCCAATTTTGCTAGTTACATTCGCCATGGCCATGGGCTGTGATTCCCACACCTTTATTTAGATCAATATAACACTATCTATCTTACAGAACATGGCTATTCAACTGGCCTGTGGATCAGTGCTAACTGTATTATATTCATGATCTTTATATGATGGGGCTCGGGCCTCTGACATATCGATCCCCATTTATGTGGATCAGTGCCAACTGTATTATATTTGTAATCTTTTTATGTTCAATCCCAATTTTATAAATGTTGGCCCTGAGCAAACTTAGCTGAATAACCCTGTTCTAGGAGGACAGAAATGTGTCACATTTTTTAGTATTCTAAAATATGGGAGTCGCCGTGGTGGAGCAGCTAGACGCTCATCTGCAGATCAGAAGGTTTGTTCCCTGGCAGAGCCGGACATTTTCAAAAATGACATTGACTACCAGGTCGACACCGCCTTGAGTGGGTACCGGGTGCAGTCCTAGGATTTAAGGTGGCGGGCGTGATGATGACCACATCATTTATTTTGTGCCGATTGGTTTAAAAAATATAGGTCTAGCCCTATATGCCCTATACGCCTAAAGGCATGGGAAAGGGTCCTTTACTTCACTAAAAGTTGTTGATTGCTGGGAAAAAACTGTCTTTCTCCTCTCTCCCCCATCCCTCACACTACAGACACAATCTAATGTCAAGATAAAAGACACTGATCACATGCCAATTATGGTGTAGTGATAAAACAATAGAGCTAAGTTGAGAACCAACATTACAGCTCTAGGGATATTCTCATAAGCACTCCATCCCCATCTTCAGCAGCCTGTGTATGATAAACAGAATTCAGCCTGTACATACACTAGGACATAACACATTAACATAAACTCACAAACCAAATGACAGAATCCATTATACAGTGTATGTCAAATTTCTCAAATACTTCAAGACAATAGCCATCTCAGCAAGAATCAAGTGAAGCCTCATGCAACTGTATTGTCAGAAAGCTACTTTGAATACAAACAGATCTTTGACATTCTGCTTCCCACAAAAAAGGGAACAGCTGAATCTTTCAAACTTCCTTATTTAGCCATGTCTGCAGCAGTGCTAAATACAACACATCATCGACTAGAAAGCTCGAAGGAGGGAATAGAAAAGATGCGCACAAATATATTCTAATGTTTTAACCAAAGTCTTCATTAACGGAGTACTAAATACAAAACATTCCCCATCTTGTGCCGATTGGTCTATACAAATACAGGTTTAGCCCTATAAGCCCTATACGCCTAAGGCGTGGAAAAGGGACTTTTACTTTTTTTTTTTTTACTTACTAAACACAGAATAGAAAAAATCCTGCTACTTCAGGGGGTTAAACCCAGGCCAATGTCTTGACAGGAAGTATGCTAACCACTATTCCACCACAGCACCTCCATAACTAACTAGCTCCAAAAGTCAACTATTTATAAATGAAACAAAGAAAGAAAGAAAAAAAAAAACCAGCATATTTTGAGCTATACAATGATGTCTAAAAGATTCCAAAGTCATACACTGTGGAAGTGATTTAGCTAATCCAGCTAACTCCAAAAGTCAACTATTTATAAATGAAACTATTGAAACAAACAAACAAAACCAATCACACTGTCCACTAACCTCAGCAAACTTGTGAAGTTGCTGACATCCATACTTGGACTTCAGATTGAACAGGTCATCAACATACTCTGTAGGTTCAATCTCCCGGAAAACTCGGTAGTCATTCAGTGTGAGCTGCCAAGCTACTTCATGTGGGTCTAGCTGCAAAAGACTTATCTGACTCTCTGCCAAGAGCTGCCCAATCAGATCATCTGGGATGAGTGCCTCCGAGGTCAGGTTGTTCTTGAGGTAGTACCTAAGTACACGAGGGAGGGCCCGCCTGATAGTGGTTTAGCAGTTTTGCACAAGCCAGGGACAGACAGAAGAAGAAGAAGAAGAAAAAGAAAACACAGACCAAAGAGAAGACACAGGCCAAAGAATGTACCCACACAGAAATGTGAATGTGAAGGAAGTGAAATATCACCCATTTAATAATGATGACATTGATGTTAGTTTGTATTGTATGGAATGTAATTATAAATGTAAAAAGGCCACAAAATGATGTAAAGTTGAAATATTTAGATGCAGTTGTGTTTGGGGGAAAAAACAACGTAGATATAAATAGTTAAATTTTAAATTTAAAAACCATAGAAATATCCGTAGAAAAAAAAAAAAAACATAAGTGTGCAAAAAAGTGTTTAACAAATTTTAAGCAAGAAATTAAAGAAAAATAAATTTAAAAAAAAAGCAAATTAAAACCAAAATAAGATTTTTTGATATTTCGAGGATATGAAATTTTAGAAATAAGAAAGAAAAAGGATGACAAAAAGAAAAAAAAAAAGAAACATGGCGGGTTAAGAAATGGGACGGGTCGGGGGAGAGGGGAAAAAATAAAGACCAACATTAATATGCCCCAAGTGAGATTCAAACTAACACAATCAACAACAACCAATAATGGATAATAATGAGTAATATGGTACTTTACACTTTATACAATATGACTGCATATATTGTATATACATATTTACTGCATTTAGGATGGCTGCACTTATTGCATTTAATATCAAAACAATTGAATGCACAAGTCTAAAGCAATGTGATAATTTAAGTATGTAAAGCAGATATCATCGTAAGCAGTGATTGTCCTATGAATTAGAACTTACTAATCACTTTACATGTTCTATGTTTGTTTGGTTTTATTGGTTAAAACTTAACATGTTTTTTTTTTGTCTGATATTATCAGTTAGAACTTAATATTCATTGAACATGTTCTATATTTGTCTGGTATTCCCAGTTAGAACTTATTCATCGAACATGTTCTATTTTTGTGTGAAAATAGGGATTAGAACTTATTAATTAAAAAAAAGTTCTGTTACCCATAATGCAAAAGCAAGATCAAAGCAAGCTGGTTAGAAACTGACTGGAGCTAATATAAAACATGAACAAGTACAACAGTGCATTCAGAGTAATCACTATGGTAAGTTAAATGTTCATTAAATAGGTTCATAGGCAACACAGTAGCTAACAAGTTAGATAAAAATATGTTTTAGCAATATAAAGAAGGGTAAATGGTCATTAAATTTATAGGTAATATAGTAGCTAACAAGTGAGATAAACCAATATATAGAAGGGAAATTGGTCATTAAATTTATAGGTAATACAGTAGCCAACAAGTTTGATAGACATATGTTCTAGCAATATAAAGAAGGGTGAATGGTTGTTATATTTATAGGTAATATAGTAGCTAACATGTGAGATAAACCAATATATAGAAGGGTAATTGGTCATTAAATTTATAGGTAATACAGTAGCCAATAAGTGAGATAAACATATGTTCCAGCAATATAAAGAAGGGTAACTGGTCATCACATTTATAGGTAAAACAGTACTCAACAAGTGAGATAAACACATGTTCTAGCAATATAAAGAAGGGTAAATAGTCATTAAATTTAAAGATAATCATGTCTATAAACAAAAGGCAGATGAATGAATGTTCTAGCCAAAGTAAGAAAGGTAAAGGTTTAAAATTAAATGTATAAACACTGTATGCAAACAAAAGGCATACAAATGAATTTTCTAGCAATATAAAGATGAGTGAATGCTCACTGTCTTTACTGAGACTTTACAGAGTGTACAACATGGTTATACTGAGCCTGACTATTCAGAGCTGCATGGCTAGTGCAGTCATGACAACATTTGCAGGATAACATGTTTATTTCTGCCCCCACAGGAAAACAAATATGTCTATCAACTTAAAAAGGATTCAAGCCCTGGTCTTCGGAGTTGAGTTAAGTCAAGAACTGACATCACAGCACTCTGGGCATTCCCATGTGTGCTCCATTCTCATCTTCAGCAGCCAGTGCAGAGTTCCAATGCTGATGGTATCGGTCACAATCTGGTTATATGTCCGTCTTGCCTTTCCTTTGAGTTCAGTGTCTGAGTCTTCAGAATGAGAGCCCAAGTGTTCTGGCTGTTCAGCTGGTCCACCAAATGTTCATTAATAAAATATTTAGGTACAGTGCAGACCGTTTAAGGCAATCTCAGATGTGATGAATTTCTGTTGTAAAGAACAATATGTTTATCCCCAGCAAACATTTTTTTGCTTGAATTCTAATGTGTATATGAGGAATTTCTTATAAAAACCATTTACTGGGTCCCTAGTGAGTTCTCATTATCGTGTGTGCACTGTAATAGTATGAGCCAGCTACTCAAATAAGCTTATTTGAGGGCCAAAATTTTAAAAAATGAGGATTGTCATGGGCAAAAGGTCGAGCCCCAGCACAGAAAGTTTATTAATACAATGCAACTGGCAGTGACCCACGGGTCGCCAGTTGAATAGCCCTGCTGTAAGCTAACAAATTTCAGTATGTTCTAGTATATAAAGAAAGGGTGATTATAAGAAGTTATTTTGACATTACAGATGACGACTGTTAGAATATATGAGGAAATAATTTCAAAATACCAACTAGCTATACTGACTTTAAAAAATATTCAGAACTTCTCAAGTAAGTAAAGACTGTACCACCCCATG